CCGCCCAGAGAGCGCTAAATGGAATGGTCTATCTGTTCTCCCCGCTTCTTCGAGCAACCTCCTTGCCCCGCGAGTGCCGCTTGCGGCTCGCGCTGTTATCTAGTGTCGCACAGGAAAGCGTGCTCTCTGCGTCGGTCAGTCGGCGCGATCGCCGGGCTGTTCCGAAAACCGCACTATAACCGGTATTTCCCTTTGCGCGCCTGCATTTTAAGCGGTATGTAATTACATGGAGTTCTATGGGAGGCGAACCGGTGGTTTAAAAAAGCCGCGTTATACCCGGTCCTGCACTATAAGTGGTTACGTTGTAGGTGGTCTATACTGTATTAGCAAATTTCATTATGGCGGACTCTTCAACAGCAGTCATTAGTTTCTGACATTATGCGGCTCTGGTTAGATTACAGTGGCATCAACTATGAGAACTGCTGTCGTCGCGCTCGGCGCCTTGCTATGACCCAAAGCGCGCAATGATAACAATCATCGGTACAGCTCAATTAAAAAAATCTCTACTTTTCAGAGTTCGGAAGTTTCAACAAATTCATATTTCATCTGTCTTACTGGTTAGGACGGACACCAGTCATAATCTACAGTGTGATTCAAGGAGACGCCAGGCTCTTTAACTCGACCGCGAAATTCGGTTTCTTAATCTATCGCGCTACGACTTTCTGCAGCGTTGCCCACAGATAGTGCAGTTTTCTTGTGAAATTTGCAAAGAGCGAATTTACCTGAGGAAAAAGTGAAGAAAGAAAAAGGCTTAGCTCCCATGGAAATGCGGCAAAGCCAAAGGTCTTCGAACAATACGGCGCCGTTTCGCACGGGAAACAAGAGATGGCGCAACGAACGCCGCCAACGAACGCTGGCAACGAACGAGCATACGGCGCCGAGAGCCGACGTCTTTAGCAGACAATCTTTTCAACTGAAAAGCAGTGCACGTTCCGTAGGTGGCGACAGTCGCAGAAACAAAAACAGGCGCGGTAACAACAAGGAACTGCGGTTCCTTGTCTGCTTAAGACGCCGGCTCTCGGCGTCATATGCTTGTTTGTTGGCGGCAGTTGGCGTCGCGACCGCTTGCGCCATCTCTTGTCTCCCGTGCGAAACGGCGCCGTGTTGTTTGAAGACCGGTGGCTTCGCTGCGTTTCCATAGGAGCTAAGCCTTTTTCTTTCTTTACTTTTCCTCAGGTAAGTTTGCTCTTTGCAAATTTTACAAAAAAAAATGCACCATTTGTGGGCAACGCTGCACAAAGTCGTAGTGCTGTAGGTTAAGAAACCGAATTTTGCGGTTGATTTAAAGAGCCTGGCCACTGTTTGATATACCCTGTAGATTATGACAGAAAAAACAATTTCTGCATAAAAATTTGATTTTTAAAAATGTCATATTTACATCCACCAACATCACGAGAGTATTCCGAGAAAGTTTCATTAATTTACACTGCATAGTTAATTTTTTATAAACTATTTACAATCCATTGATGCTAAAGAAAAGGTAGAGGTTGGAGCACTTCAAACACATTTTTCTCCCTTCAACCTTTTGCCATAAATTTCACTTTAGGAAAACTATTGTTTTGTTATTACATAACTTAGATTCATTTTTATGAGTTTTTCTGGAGAAATCAGAGAAGTGATTCAAACCTTCACATTTTTGGGTAGTGGAGAGGCCAGCCCCTTAAAGAGGCTGGCCTCTCCTTGAATCACCCTGTAGTAGGGGTATCTGCATTCTGCATGCTTCTTTTACAACAGGCCCAAATTTCTGTCGGTATCAAGGTCTGTTGTAATGAGTTTATACTGTGGTGCAGGTTTGACACTGAATGGTTGTCTTGTTAGACCTTTTGCACATGACAACAGGCGCATGCATGCTTTCTTGGGTTAGATATTGTCTCGATCCGACACTGCACCCACACACGTTTTCTTGGAACTTGGTTGCTGAATTTCACGAAGCTTTGCTTTAAACAGAGAGCAAATATGGGGTTTTCAAAACCACACTTTTCTTTTTCTTATACAAGTGAAATGTGATTCAAAAGAATGAGTTCATTGATAAGCGGAGTGATTCTCAAAATTTGGGGAATGATGCTCGATAAATATAAGCCCTCAAGCTTAAGGAAAAGTGCTCACGCCCAAAATGTTGAGCTGACTGCGGTGAACTCATTCTTTATGGTGAGGGCGATACATCTCCTTTATGAGGATTTCTGGCAGGAGCACAAGTTGTCAGGCCGACAAGGGTTAGGTGAGCACTGCGCAATATGGTTAGGACGGACACGACGTCAACACTTAGTTCGCTCATACAAAATAGTGACAGTTGCCATTTGTCCAAGTCCAGGATGAGCACATTCTGCCACACTAGAATAGTAGTTTTGATACAGACTGCATTGCAAAGGAAAACTGGGAAAGTTTGGGGGGTCACCTGTTTGCTGCGCTAACTGGTTCGCATTCTGTCCATTGTTTCTCACCACTTCTATTCTTGACCAAAGTCTTTGTGCCCACGACCGACCGTCTGCAAGAATTTTCTGCCCGACGTGTGGAACAGCATGAGACGTTTGCAAACCGCTTTTCCACCTGAAAAAGAAACAAACTGCAGGTTAATACGTGCACTGCGACAGAGTTAGCGGGAACGTGGCATTGGCACATCTTCGTGTTTTACTCGTTCTAATTATGTGGGACACTACCCAGAAAACATAATTTTGCAAAAAAATGTTGATTTTGAAAAGTGTCCTATTTTCATCTGCCAACATCTCGAGATTATTCCCAGAAAGTTTCAATTGTTTACAGTGCATGGTTATTAATGCGAAAGCATTAACTGTCCCAGGGAGCAAGCAGACGTCATCAGTTTGAAGCGCGAAAACGGCACCTAGTTTCCCTGATCCAAAAGGTTCCATTGGCTGGCACGTGGTGACGAGGCTCCCATTGGCCGCTGCGCGTGTCAGTTTCAGCGACCGCCGCCAGATGGCGCTGTGTGTCCGTGCCGCAAGCGTGTCTTGCTCCGGTTAAAACAGATACTTTGGGACGTGCTCGGAAGCTTCTGCTGGTCTCGCCGCCGACCAACGTGTTGTTGCCTGCATCATCCACATCGTCGGCGGTACTTCTGCTCATCCCGCCGCCGACGACCATGGCGCCACCTCTGGCATTCACATCATCGCCAATGCTTCTGCCACAACTCGAAAACATTACTCGCGCCACAAACTCCGCGGATCACTCTGCGGCGTTCCATTGGACATTCATGTTTTCGCATTCACAACTCATAAGAAGTGCTTTGGTGTCTTTATTTTCAATCCACCAATGCTAAAGAAAAGGTAGAAGTTCAAGCACTTTGAATGCATTTTTCTCCAATCCACCCTTTGCCGTAAATCCCACCTTAATAAAACTATGGTTTCAGTATGAAACTATCGAGAGATTTAATATTTACAGCTTATATGCCGAAACTTTATGGAGCCGGTTACTATGCATTTGGATTCTGCATTTTCACGTTCCTTTGTTATATAAAAAGAATTTTGTTTGAAAAATGCATATTTTTTAAAATTTATTTGTATAGTAATCGGCAACACGTATTCCGCCATGCATTCCACCAGAAAAACGTGTGGTTATTGACACCATTTCACGACAGATTCATTGAGCAGATTCCATGCAAAGCTATACTTTACTTCATTCCGGGGGTATAAAATTGGTTCACAGGGCTGAAACTTTGCATGCCCTCCCTCTATATGGCTGCAAACGCCACGTGCAAATATCACGCCGATTGATTGAGCGGTTCAAAAGTTTACATTCCTAGATAGTCTCCCCCCTCAAGGCTGGTGGGCTGGTTCACAAATCTGTGTTTGACTGTGCCATGATCGCCTGCAATGGCATATGACGAAACAATGCATCGGTACCATCTACAGGGCATTTTCGATGCTGTCCGGGCGTAAAAAAGGTTTTATTAATATGCCAATGAACTGAGTGCAATAATACTTCTCACAGAGGTGTGTTTAAATGGTGCATTTATCATACTCATATTTTATGAGCGCAAGTTTCAGAAAAAAAATATAAGCCTAAAAGCACCTGTTATTTTCTTTCTTATTCACTTAAGGGGAATTGGCAAAAACCATGTGGTTTTTGCCAATTGGCAGATGGCACAACATAAAGACCTGAAAGCTTCTTGGAGATGAATTCCCAAAAGCAGATCCAAGCATGTGTGGTTCCATCTGAACTGTGTCAACCAAACTGCTTTAAAGGGGTACTCCGCCGATTTTTGAGCTACCTCAGCTAACTATATTTTCTGACTCCCCGGCCTTTACCCTTTCTGGTATGCTATTTAGTATCGTGAAATTCATAATAGTTATTGCGAAATCGGCAAATGAAAATGATGCAAAAACCAACATTCAAATATACCCGCCCTTTTCAGTGCCGTGACGTCAGTGGAAGGCCAGCTAGCCAGTCGGGCGAGCAGTCTAAAAAATAGAATATGCCAATCATTTGTTCCGTGCTGAAGCGCGGGTCCTGGAGCGAGCTTCCAAAGCATTCATTTGACACCATGAAACAGCTTCAAATCAGTTGGGAACAAATTCTACAGTCCAAAGAGTGAACCCCTACACTTCCACTGACATACTTTTTCGTTGTTGCCAGTAGAGACTTTCAGTTTGAAAAACACGGTGAGAAACAAAATTGTAAATTCAATAACTTCGTAAAAAAAAATTATTTTGACCCAATATTTGGGATACTATTTTGGCGATGTTGTTTGGCGAGTTTAGCAAAATTTCAAGCTAATCGGGGACCATGAAGAAATCGGCGGAGTACCCCTTTAACCGTGTTTTGCATAGAAAAAAAAAGGCTTTTCCACGCTTCAATTTTTTTTACTGAAACCGACAGAAAATTTAGGTAGGGTAAATGCACTTCAATCATTAATTTATTCATAGGACCTTTTTTACGCCCTACCAGTGCTCAGAAAAACACTCTTTTGGGTAGCCCCGAAACAGTAAAAGGCAAATTCCCCCGTTCTTCTGTGACCTGTGGACGTTTGTCTCGGGGCGGTGCAGGGATCATGTGCGAGCTGCTCTGGTCGGACCCCCAGCCCCAGGAGGGCCGGTCGCCGAGCAAGCGGGGCGTGGGCATCCACTTTGGGCCGGACGTGACGCGGCGCTTCCTGGAGCGGAACGGGCTGGACTATGTCATCCGCAGCCACGAGGTCAAGGCCGACGGATACGAGGTGGCCCACGAGGGGAAGTGCATCACCGTCTTCTCGGCCCCAAACTACTGGTGAGCCGAGGGATTCCTTTCCAAGTTCACGGGATATACGGGACAAGAAAAGAGAACCGCCGCATCACGCTGCCAAAGTCCCACGCTGCATTTGTTAAAGGGAAGCTGTAGATGTCGTGGAATTCGAACAAACGGGAATTGTAATGTAGACACCTTAAAAAATTGTGTCTTAAGTATTATTTCAATCTTCTTAGTAGGAGCGTCGTAATAGCCAATGAAAATTTCGACGTAGACTCGTCCATTGCGGCGCACCGACGGTAGGAAAGCGCGAGAGTGGAGAGAAAAACCAGAAAAAATGACTTCATCAGTGGGGTCAGGTGACTGTCGCTTGCCACTAAGCTGGCTTGGGTATGCCGTCAATGACGTCACAACGCTCTGGACAGATAAGGCAGCAGAGAGGATTGCCGCATGCCCAATGGCAATCCCTGCGCATATTTTTCGAAATACATGCAGTTTACGTTTACTTCTGCCCTAAATAAGTGCAATACCGAATTCACTAGACGAAAAGTTATAGAAGTCCGCTTTTAACTCAGATTTCTTGAAAAGTGCTTCAGCTTCCCTTTAAAAGGCTTCTGTGCATAAAATAAATTAGTGTGTCACTCTAAGCAGACATTGGTGATGGTTTCTCCACATAGGGTGCAAGAAGCGTCAGGATACATTTGGTTCTGTTAAGGCGTCGTAGCTATTGTCGCAACTGTACTGTGGGTTCACGCGGGCTGCTAATTTTTTTATTCGTGGCGGTCTTCATTCGGAGTTAAGAACAAGGTGTCACTTGAGAAGTTGACCCGTCAGCAGCCTAAACGGCCCTAGTTGAGGCTGCATATAGAAAGTTCTGTATGAGCTGCTGGAGTCACTCAATGTTTGTAGAGTACCGCATCCCAAACCTTCTGTGTGAAAGGTGGTTGGTTGCTTGTGACCATAATGATGCCATCCGAGGTTAAGCATTTAAGCTCTTTCGAGGTTTATTACAGAATTTTTGTGTCCGATTTACAAGTACCAGCCATCATTATTGAATCTCGGTTTCATGCTTTTGTGTTGTCTGGGCAAATATACTGGAAGCTGTTTTTGCTGCTTCCTGTATTCATTTTTTTTTCGGGGTGACTCATTCTGCTTGTGGTGACTTGCAGTGACACCATGGGGAACAAGGGAGCCTTCATCACCATGACTGGGTCCAACCTTTCGCCCAAGTTCACCACATATGAGGCTGTGGTGAGTGTTGTGCCCTTCCTCTCCTTGTCACCTTAACTACTTTGTGATGCTGTGTAGTACATCAACCTAGTTTTGAGGTAGATGATCTGTGCTGTTGACTTTCTTGCTTGTCTTCGTGGTCCTGTGCCTCTTGCAAGGCCCACATTGTCCTACTAGGGAACCACTACCGTAAAATCCCAAAATGGTGCCCACCCCTCTGCCAGGGATAATTGTAGAAAAAAAGTGGGGTGGGCCATGCTTCGATAGTCAACTCCGAAAAACACGAAAAATATGTGAAACAGCTGATTTCTTTGTGCCTTTATTCTCGCTAATCCTCGTCGCAAAATCCGTTGAAGGAAACATCACTGCCGCTGTCAAAAGTCAAGTCCAAGGCCTCGTCCACCAGGCTGTCGTGTTCCCCGGGTCCTGCCTCTGCCACATCATCCACCGACGTCAAACGGTCGTTGAGTTCTCCGTCCTCCGTTCCATCGAGGCTAGTTAAAATGCTTGCCCTCTTGAAGTACCGCGGCACCATGCCCTCGAAGATGGAGGCCCACGATTCTGCCACAAAGTCTACAACATTCTGCTTAGGCGTCCTCTTTAGATTTCTTTTGGAGGTCAGTTTGCCCGCCCGGAAGAGCACGGCCCAACGCTTGTGCAACACATCCTTGAACGATTTCATCCACAACGCATCGGCAGGTTGCAGTATTTATGTGCAGCCGCCTGGTATCAGGGCTACATCTGTGTCCCTGGCATAGAGAGCTTCTTGGGCAGCCTCAGTTTTATGAATCGGTACCTGGTCCAGCATGAGGAGCCTTCGCACGTCGTCGACATTCGGTCCCCAGACCCTGCATATCCACTCTTGATGGATGGGATAGGTCATCCACCCGTTTCTAGATGATGTGACCTGCACATTTCCTGAAAAGAATACCAGTACAAAATTAATTGACAACTTCGAATCGACTGATTTACGAAAGCACATGCTGTAGGAAAGCACAAAGGCAACAGGCCTCAGACACGACCGGTGGATGAATGCGGCCTACCCACTGGGCGTACCTGACCATTGAAATGGGGCGGCGGGCTGTGCCATTTTTTGCGACTATGGCGAAGCAAGACGAAATCTATGTGGCTCTAGGGTAACTAATGGCACCACAATCGGACCTTTCTTTTTTTTTTTTTAATGCGAAAGCAATACTTGTTTTATGAGGCGAGCCGACGTCTGAAGCTTTAAAGGCCCGTTCACACTTGCGACAGTCGCTGGAGCGACTAGCGACTGGTTTTTGCTCTCAGAGCGACCAAAACAGGTCGGCAGCGACCGATTTTGGGCAGTCGCTCCCTGACCGATTTTTCAAGTCGCAAAACCGAGTCGCTGGACGACGGAGCCAATCAGCGTCTCGTCGGAAGTGACGTGTGCGTTTGTTTACATCCGGCACTGCTTCCCGCGGAAAATAGCGACGCGCGCACGGCGGCGGTCACTGGCATGGAGTTCTCCGCGGAAGCTCTTATTAATGCTGTCAATGACTATTTGTTTCTTTACAATAAGCGGCACCCCGACCAGAAGGATCGGGCAAAAAGCTGCCGGCCTAAAACGAGATCGGCGACATTTTCGGCATGGCAGGTACGTACAATATCACGGTTGAGGGAGCGCACATATAGCCGTTGTTTTACGTTCGGAAGCACCATTACGTTTTCTTGTTTTTTTCCTGCCGGCACCTTTGGTCAGGAAAACCTTTCAGCCGGCTCGAAAAGGTGTTGATTACTATCCATTAAGTTAGCAGCGAGCCTGGCAACTCGTCGGTCGCTCAATCAGGTGTGAACACTGGTGGTCGCCAGTCGCTGCAGCGACTGTCCCAAGTCGCGGGTGTGAACGGGCCTTAAAGCCGCGCCAAACGGCACCTAAACTGCTTCCTCCAAGTGAAGCTGGCTCCCAGCTTTGAAACCATGCAAAAAGCCTAGCCAAACGGCACCTAGTTTCCTTGATCCTAAAGGAGCGGGGAGAAGCCGATGGATTTCGGCTTCAATCCGAAATCCATCGGCGCGTGTCATAGTTTCAAGGAACGAGGCTCCCATTGGCCGCTGCTCGTCAGTTTCAACGACTGCCACCCCGTGACACTGCGTGTCCGCGCCGTCAGCGTGCCGGTAACACGAAGCATCCAAAGTCAGAGCGGCGAGGAGGACGCGCGCTCTGCCGTCAACGCAAATATGTCGCAGACGAAATAAGGGAGTGGAAGAATGACATGCATGCTTTTGCATTTACAACTCGTAAGAAGTGCTTAGGTGTACCTCGAGCCTTTTTAATGCAAAAGCATTAACTGGGTCCCATGGAGCGAGCTGACGTCATCGGTTTGAAGCGCGAAAACAGCACCTAGTTTCCCTGATCCCAAAGGTCCCATTGACTGGCATGCGGCGACGAGGCTCCCATTGGCCACTGCACGTGTCGGTTTCAACGACTGCCGCCAGATGGCGCTGCGTGTCCGTGTCGCCAGCACGCCGATAAAACTAACCGTTGCATCCCGATCCCACTACGGGCCATACGTCGGTTAAATCGGACACATTGGCGCACGCTCGAAGGTTTCTGCTCGTCTTCCCGCCAACTGACATGCCGTCGCCTCCATCATCCACATTGTCGGCGGTGCTTCTGCTCGTCTCGACGCCGACGAACATGGCGCCGCCTTTAGAATCCATGTCGTCGGACATTCATGCTTTCGCATTCACAATTCATGAAAAGTGCTTAGGTGTCTTCAGACTTTTTATTTCCAAGTTTGATGGGGCGGTTTATGGTGGGGCAGTTTTATAGTTTCCGTTTCTGTCTTGCGGAGTTCTAAGCATGTAGCTACCTATATCTACAGTAGAGGAGGCTTAAAAACAACGTACAATCGCCGGCCGATTTTTCGGATGCCAATAATTCAGACTTTTCCCATATTTTTGACCTAAAGGGAGAACCGTGACCTACCCGATAGAAATAGTACATATTCACAACTGATGTTTCGGACAGCTTGAAGTCCAAATGTTCGATATTTCGGACAAAATCGTCTCGAGCGATCACTGGGAAACACCACTGTGAAGTGGCCCTTTTGAATTCTGTGTTGGCTGCACATGGATTGGCTTGGTTTGGCAGGCCTAATTGAGTACTGCTAAGGCCTACCACTAGGTGATGCTGTATGGGCTTTTTCTAGCTGTGCGTCATTATCATCATCATTGTTGCTACCATTTTGCTTTGTTAATGCGCCATTGCAGTCGTCAACTTGCGCTTCATCTCGACCTCGTTTCGGTGAATTGTGTTTTTGGACTATGCTGGCTTGGACGTCGTTGCCATATGTTCTTCTGCCGCTGTGATGTGTTGCTAAGAAGCGCAGAAAGTACTGGACTGTAACGCTAGAAAAGAAGGCAGCGATTCTCAAGTTAATCGAAAGTTGCCCAACGCGAACAGAGGCGTAACCTGAAACAAGGTGCGATGGCCTAACCTTCGCGCCGCGTAACTTGAAGCAAGGCACTATTTATGGCTTTTTCAAGCCCGCTTAGATGTAATAAAAGCAGGTTTCTGAATCTGCTGATTTTTCGGGCTGCTCTATTATTCTGACTCTCTTCTGGTCCCTGCAAAGTCTGAAAAATCGGTCGGCGACTGTACCTGGAATCTTGATTGCAAATAGTACCCTCAGGGGTATTCGGCCTGTTGGCTCTCTAAGCATGATCAACGCTGGAAGGTTGACTCTCGCTGCCGTCGCACCCAAAGCCACGGTCATTCCTCACCGGGCACGGCCGGTGTTGGTGATTCAGATACTTGAGTCGCTGGTAACGTTAATCGTTCCTCTTACTGGACAGTCCATTTGAGCCATAGTCTGGTCCATGTTGGCGATGTCTTTCTGAAGGCCACAATCGCTTCAGCGGAGTCAGCAGGCAGCTTTTGACTTTTGTTTGTCCCAACCTGCGTAGACACATAGTAGCGCATTTTGCAGCGAGCGATGTACTGGCACGATGCTTGAAAGTTTCCCAGACCCATCTGTGCCACAAGCTGCCGCACATGTTCTTGGTGAAGCCGGTTGCTGACGGCTCGATCGGCTGATTTCTCAGTTTCCAGGAAATCCATCAATGCGTCATCAATTTCTTCACTTAAAACGGGTCGTCCACTACCCATGGTTCTCTTTAGCTTGGTCTTTCCAGGGCACAGCTGCACGAGCACTTGGTATTTCGTGTTCCATTCCCGTACACGCTCTCTGTCAACCTCGAAGTCGCATGCAGTCTTGCTCACGTTGATTCCGTTCTTGCGGTGCCACTCCACGATTTCCACCTTCTTCTGGATGGTGTAGCTAGACCTCATTTTGGGACTGCAGGAGAAACGTCTCCACAGTCCACTGGCAGATCAAGGAATGAGATGGCCAGGTCAGTTCAACCTAGTTTTCCTTTCCAGTTATCAGTTCGGACGATCGGATGCGGGGGCACCGAAAGAGTAACCTCGAACCTTTGTCGGGTTTTTCCCTCTTACACTCTAGTCCTCAAAAATGTGACCTCTTCCCTTTGTAAAAAGAATCGGGGGGGCTTTCAAAAGAATTAAAATAAAAAGTCTACCCGCACCTTTTTTACTTCTGGGAGTCGCTATTTCTGGAGGGTGGGTGATGTATCGGCAGAGTGACTGAAATAGATATTTGGGCAACAAAGGGGGGTGGGCCACCAATGGGTGTGGGCGTCCTTTCGAGATTTTACGGTAGGTTAGCCGAGGGACACTCCCCTCCTATCCATTCTTACCATTGATTACTTCAAGACTCTACAAACTTTCTTAACAGTTTTACTGCAGTATGACCTCCTTACAACAGGTCTGGTTAAAGCAGGCATTCGGTTGTAACATACCAATTTGTGAAGCTTGTTTGGTTTTTCTATCTATGCCATTGAGCCAACTTTGCTTATTACAGATTCTGTTATAACATTGATTCAGATATAATGGACTATATTAGAGACTTCGTAAGTAGTTCATCATTCGTTTATAGCTAGGCTGCCCAGTGCCGTGTTTTTCAATCAACAATAAAAAAAAAAAAAAAAAAAAAATCCGAAAAATACTTGGCAGTAAATTTTCTGTCAATTCGGATTTATCCGAAAAACTCTGAATTTCAAGGTCACAACGACAAAACAAGAAGCAGAAAAGGGCTGTTTTACAAATAACTTCATGAGAGTACAGGGTCGGTCGTCGTGAGGAGATGACACATCAGTTTCCTTTGAAATCTAGAAATAGTGACAAAAGGGGTTCGCATTTTGGCCCATCGAGGTTCCTTCAGGAAATGGGCCTTGGTACTCTAACTTTATTTATTTTGTTTTTGAATTTTAAATTCTAAGAACTAAAATAAAGTCCGAATTTCAAAGAATTGGGAATCTAACAAAATTAAACTCTGATAAACCTTGAATTTTCAGCGAACAATAAACTCCAAAGAACACCCTCTGAATTTTACGAGAAATAAACATGGAATTCTAATTATAGAGGGCTCTTCGACAGCAGTCATTATTTCGAACATTATGTGGCTTTGGTTCGGTAGCGGCGGCATAAATTTTGTGAACTGCTGTTATTGCACTCGGCGCATTGCAAGCCTCGTAGAACCCAAAGCGCGCAGTGTTGGCAATCATTAGCAGAGCTTACTAAAAAATCTCTACCTTTTGAAGCTCAGAAGTTTCAATTAACCAGTTTCTTCCTAATATCCATTCTCATCTCATCAGTCTCGCCGGTTAGAACAGACTCCAGTCATAATCCACCTCAGAGTCTGCAGTAAGGGTTTTTGCATTCTCCTTTTACAACAGGCTAAAATCTTCACCACAGTCAAGGTCTGTTATAATGAGTTCATACTGTATACGTGCAGTTGGAAGAAGAATGGCTCATACTCATGGTTGAGTGCATGACTTAGACATGTTTGGATTGTGCTTGAACTGGAAAACTCGGTTAAGGTGGGAGGCAACTGAGAGAGTTTAGGTGACCAAAGAACTTGCTTAAATTGCCCATAGTAGCACAAGAAACTTCTTTGTACCCCTGGGGCTACTTGGAAAGCTCAGTACTGTTTTTCTGGAGAAGGATTTACATTTTGAGGGTGCTGTGTGGGCGTGTTTTGCAGCATTAAGTTGTATGGGCATTATTTGATTGAGGAGGAAGACATAACTACCCAAAGGAGGGTCCTTTTTCAAAGCCTGCACTTAGCAGTGCCCTACACGAGAAGGGACTCTGAGTTCCAGTTTCAGGAAACTAACACACATCTTTTATATATCTTTATTCAGATGAGGTCACTGACGACTTGAGCAAACGGTCACACAGTAAAAGTGAGGAGAAACTACTGTGGTACAAAGAGCTATCATATTACGAACTAGTGATCCGAGAAAATATCCCAGCTACTGATGAACCTTGTGAAGCTATGTCAATCTTGCACTGGAAGCAGTGAGTCATTTAAATCCTTTTCTTCTTTTTCAGCCTCATCCCAACATTAAGCCCATGGCCTATGCCAGCAGTCTACTGGCACTTTGATGTCAGAAGACAGTTCTGCTGCTTGACACGCAACCATTTGCTCCGTCAGCAAGACATGGCACATTCTTGTGGTCTGGGCTCGGCCAGGCCACTGACTGGTGTACAGTAGTTACGTTGTTTTTTTTTGTTTTTTTATTATGTCAGAAATCACGGCTGTTGAATGCGGCAGGATCCTTCATTGCAATTTTTTGTTTTGTTTTTTCACTCATGACAGACTGTTTTTGGGAGCCACCAAACATAGCTGCAGTTCTTGGGACTGAGCTGGACTCTTTGTTATTATTTTTTTACAACTGCTTTAGGCGTGCCGTTTTTACATTGTCTTTGGAAGGAAAATAGGAAACAAAGATTGTCTTTCCCCCGTGTGTTTGCACTAGGGCGTAGCTTACGTACGGCCAACAGACGTCGTGCCCTTCTGTTACTTGCACGCCTCCCCGACGTGCGGCCGGGATTTCTCGTCTCGAGAAACGTGCACAGCCTTGGAGCGCAGCCTTTTTCTGCCGCCGAGGAGTTGGCGCGTTATTTTTGTACATGGAGTGCCACGCGCACCGAAGCTAGCGGATTGTGTACTGGCATCATCGAGTCATGGAGGAGTGGAGAAGCCAGTGTAATATAAGAGTTCTTGTGATAAGAAGCTAAAGATGTAATAAATCGTACTTGGAGCAATCTTTGTGTGTGTCATATCTCCGCAGCCGTTCACAAAGCCATCAGTGACTGGGCTCATAGAATGTTTCCTTTGGAAAGCAACCTTTTCACTTTCGGCAGCCGCGTCTCGTGGCGATCTGCCAGGCTTTTTAGTATAGAGGAGGCTATGGATCAACCTCTCCTTAGTTGCATTGAGGTATATGTGAGTGATTTGCTGCTGCATACATTCATATTTTAGAACGCAGCTCTTAGGTGCCAGTTTCCAGCTTGAGCGGCGGCGCCGTCAGCGTAACCGTGCGTTGCATTATGGATAAAATTCTCCGTTAAATTTAGCGGAGAAATTTCCTCGCTAAATTTAGCAGAAATATTTCCCTGCTAAATTTAGCGAAGAAATTCCCCGCTAAATTTAGTGGAAAAATGTCGCCGCTATATTTAGCGGAAAAACTGCCCAGCTAAATTTAGCGAAAATAATTCCCCGCTAAATTTAGCGGAAAAATTTCCTCTCTAATTTTAGCGGAAAAACTTCCCCGGTAAATTTAGCGGGAAATTTTTTCGCGGGACTTAGCGAAAACTTTTTGCTAAATGGGAGAGGGGGAGGAAGGGTATATCCTTCCCTCTTCCTCAAGAGCTGCGCTCTAATTCGGCATTACAGAAAATTGTAAATGTCTCATTTCTTTTTATAGAAAATTTAAGAAATGCTTTTTTTAATGTTCTTTTTGTGTGTGTGTTTGAGTGTTTATGGGTTACAACATCGACAAATTTATTGCTAGTTATACCTAAAACCGAAGTAATACTGAGCTCTATGATCCAGTGGCAGGGGTTATACATTTTTTCCGTATCTGAGTGCAATTTAGATTAAATTGTCGCAGACAAAATGATCCCGCACAAATTAGTTTCGGCCAAAAAGGTCCCAATTGAGTGATGCGATTGCCGTGCCGTTTGGCCCAAACTGCGTCAAAGGGCTGCTGCATCCTGCAGCATTTCACTAAAATGAGGAATTTGCGTCTACATTGTGCCAAAAGTGCTTTCACGATACTGAAACGAATAGCTCAGGTCCCGCCACACTGCTGGGCTGTTGTGGTAGACTTGTGCGGCGCTTAGAATAACGCTTTATTCTATTCGACTTTGGTATCGAATAGCGACAGCACTCGGGTGTCCCGCCATACTTCTCAGACCCGTTCACAGACTTGAGTTTGACTACAACCGACCGAGACAAGACCGGGTTTTAAGCCTCTTGCGACGGCTTACGACTGGTTGTGCAACAGTGCAGCCGGTCTTAAGTCATCACAAGTGGCTTAAAAGCCAATCTTGTCTCAGTCGGTTGTAGTCAAGTCCAAGTGCGTGTACGGGCCTTCACTGTCCGTGGTCTGTTCGGGCAGGTCAGTTAGCTTCCTTGAGTGCGCTTCTCACCGTGCACCGATGCAATGCGGCGAAGCAACGCCCTCGAAGAAGACATAGCGGTCGCGTGAAAGGGGGAATAGGGAATACTGATGCGACGACTATATTTCCATCCAAAATGATCCTGTCCTCTCGTAAAATGTAGCAGTGTAATAGATAGTACGTTCACAACTTACCAAAAACTTGTAGCATGGTCACGATGAACTCATTTCATTATAAATGTTTTATTGCAGCTTCATTACGCTAATTCGAAATTTCAAACGAAACAAACAAGATAAAAACACCCAATCTGGTTTTTGCAGGAGGTCACTAGTTGTTACGCACCTGAAAGGAACCCTTGTGAGGAGGTGCTTTGGAAGGTTGTACTGCGCGAAAGCTCATGCAGCCAAGGTGCTGCCGAAGGCTACGAGCTTGCAAAACGTTAAAGATTCTTCAAACAGCCCGAAATTCACTTGGTAATAAATGTTTATTGCAGTATCAAATACAAAAAAAAAAAAAATAGGGCTGGCCCAATTAAGCAACAGTCTGCTTGTAGGTGGGGCCAGGCAACCAACTCGAATGCACATGTCGCATTATGTCAACCATAGAGTTATTATAATGCACGCTAGAGGTTCAACTGGCGCTAGTGTGCTGCTGCAAATTGAAGCAGACAGCAACCAGTCGGAAATTGACTTCCGGTAATGCTTTTCTATGGGAAAAAGCGAGTGCATTTTCTCGCTGCGCTCGATTACAAGAGCAAATATCACAAATATTCCGTACGTACTAGGCACATTGGAACATTTCTCAGTCACACAGATGAAATAATTGGTCAGTTACGGCGTTTTTATTTGAAATTCGTGGAATGAAAAACGGTGCTAAAACAGTTTCGTACATTTGTGTGCACTGTCGGACACTGCTAGCGCGAACACGGCGTCGGCGCTATAATTATTTTGAATCGTGACAACTATTGGAAAAAAGATTCTTAAAAAAGAACATTCCCAACTCTTGCTTTCTCTTCAGTATCCAGTATTCCGTACGAGGTCCGGTATGCAAGTTGTTTGTCATATGTTTTATTATCCTATAAATCTTTATTTTTTATTTATTTATTTATTTATTTTTTTTTTTTTTTTTGTGCGGCGAACAGTGAATATAAAGCGTAATGGCGCAGTGCAGTGCCGATTCCGCTAAGGTCTCGAACAAATCTACACAAGTAGGCAGATGTGACGCGCATTATTTTAGTTATAAATCAAACTTGTTTATTTCATAGCATATGCTCGTCACCATAGACACATATAAGCATTTGACAACTATAATGTCAATGATGTGCAATTTCAATTTCTACATTGTGCTGAATGGAAGAAAATGTTGGGGGCTAGTACGACGCGTTTGTGTGGATTTCGGGGACGTGTGTCTCCGAAACGCATTCTAACCATCCGTTGTAGCTCTCATCTGCAGAATATCGGGTCACACTACGCATGCCTCCATAGCAAAGTGACTCGGCGCTTTCCGCCCAGGGGATAAGCCAGTTCTTCCGATATTACCACTGCCTTCACGCTGGCTCGGACACCTGGTCTAGAAAGCGACTCGACGGTAGCTCATGAGATGTAACTCGCTAATGTTTGACGAGTGAGACTGACAGCATCACTATAAAGCCTTCGCCCTCGCGGGTAGAGACAGATGGGTCCGAACAGCGTTTGACCGAGGTGTTTGTCGCTCCGCGAAGGAGGTCACGGCTTGACGGAGTCGGACGCTTCCCACTGCATGCTGTGACACGGACGCTTCAGAGACGTCGCATTCCCGCGCTCCAGAGTCGCTTTTGATCGCTCACTTCACGGCCACGTGCCCCGTATTTTAATTCGAGATTCGATACGCTGTCGAGTAAGCGATAAACAGAAGCGTCATTTAGCCCGGTTGCCCTTGGCAGGGGAATCGGGTCGTGATGTCAGATTTCGCGACGCAGCAGGAACGTTTCGCGAGTCTCACTATGCCATCTGCTAGACGTCACGATTGCGCGTGCGCAGGTTTTCCAGCTTTTTTTTTTTTTTTTTTTTTCGTGATTAAGTGTGATTGCAGTTGCGGTGTAAGCAAAAGTGCATCGTCACAGCGCTCGCTCGTCTTTGTGCGTTTTCTATCCCCGCTGCTTCATTGGCTCCAACGAATCGTTGCGTCGGCTCCGTTAAATTGAATAGCGCTGCATCATCCGTTGCTTTTACGGTGCGCAAGGGAGAGTCACTGCATACAACGTCTCTGTATCGACCAACACTCTGTTTACAAACAAGCCGGCGTTTGCCCGGACCGGATGTGGGCACTGTGCGTGCGCAAAAACCAGATTCGCCTGAGGCGAAGCGTCTGCGCATGTGCAATGGCGACACTAGCGCCACCACAGTCGCGTGACGTCAGAGGGTTGGGTTGGTCTAGACAGTGTTCAAGGCAGTGGCGTAGCCAGGATTTTATTTGGGGGGGGGGGGGGGGGCAATAGCATGAATCCCCCCCCCCCCCCCCCCTCCCAAAATGAGGAAGCAGGGTGAGCTCGGCGGTACGGACGTTCACGCAAAGATTAGCGAGGCGTTGTTAAGAAAAAACGGGCAAAGCTGCGTTCTCAATTTTTTTAAAACGGAGCAGGCTTCATTTACAGGAATACGGGCGTGGTGGCTCATTCTTCTACTGTGGTCGTAGTTACGGCCCAATAACCTAAAAAGGGGACACTACCCAGAAAAAAAATATTCTGCAAAAAAAGTTGATTTTGAAAAGCGACATATTTACATCCACTAGCATCTAGAGAGTATTCCCAGAAAGTTTAATTAAATTACACTACGTAGTTATTCTTTTATAAATTAGTTTTTGTCCACCTAAGCTAAAGAAAAGGCAGGGTTTTAAGCGCTTGAAAGGCATTTTTTTCGTTCCTTTTTTGGTATAAATACCATTTTAGTCGATCTATCGTTTGATAATGGCAATACAGGGAAGTCTCGTTTTCCCCTTTTCCTGACTGAAATTGAATAAGCAATGCGGCTATGGATTTTTTTTTTGTCACTTTACGGATGTCTTTTATGAAAAATGATGGCATTTTGTCAGACACAGAAGACCAAAAGTTTACCAATTTTGCAGAAGATAGATTTTATAGAAATAAATGACTTTTTAAAAACAACTTTTCATAGCCGCACGCCCTAGGCATTCTGCTATCTTGAATATTGTGATAGTTTTCCGTCGATAGATTAACTAAACAATGTAGGCGTGTTGCTTATAAAAGCTGCTCTAATTTCTCTCCCATTTAACTAACAGACCTGAAGTTTTGTTATGCACCCCTAGCATGACCAACAGCCTACCCTGTGAATGTCATTAATTTTAAGCCAAGGTTTCGAAAGTTGAGCCTCCCAGATGGTGTGTCCCCTTTAAAGCGTCCTCTCAGCACACAACTCCTTCCCTTCCCCCCCCCCCCCCCCCCCCCCCCCACACACACACTTTTTGAGGTAGCACTGCATTACAAACGCGTGAAGGCCAGACAAAGCACAAGGATTTTCTGCTCTGTTCCATGGGCGCCGCTATGTTTGTTTATGCTGACGCAATGACACGGGGAGGGGCTGCATTTTTTGCGAGATTCCTTTTTTTTTTAAGAAACCTTCGCACATATCCTAGTGCAAGAACGTCG